TAATGGATTGCAATTCACTTAACACAACCAAGAAGTGGAGCTTTGAAGCTAAGGATGGTGCAGAGCAGCTTGAACCCGTGGAGAAAGGAGAGCTTGTAGCTGAGCTTGGAGCTGTTCAGGATCAAACCACCATACACCGTCGTTCTAGACCTCACAAGGAGTCAAATGGTCGATCCAAACCCCAACCGGTCCGAGTTAATTCAGGAGTTATTCCATCTAAACCGCCAAGACATCTATTTGGACCTACATATACATATGGCGAGTTATATGAGGCAAGCACGACTTTACCTTACATTTTGGAGCATTTAGAAGATAATAATGAAGATAAGGAAGCTGCAAACCGGAGTCATCTCATTCAAATCAAGCCAGAACCACCAAATCTCTCTAAACCACCAAAAGGAGCAACATTGGAGCTAGTTAAGGAAACAAGGGATCATATGACATTTTATTCACCCCACCATCATATCCGACCACCAAGACATATTTCAAGATGTTCAAGACCAGAAAATCAACTTCTGAACCGCCCCAAACCGAGCCAAAACTAAGAAGATATCAAAGAAGAGCCACTTGCCAAAGATGGAACCATTTTTGTTGATTCAAGGAGTAAAGAAGGCAAGGACGACCAAAGACTACATCATATCATTACTCTTGATCCATCAGTCAAGCTACATGATCATACACATTCATTTCGTCCTCAAGACCCCAAGATTACCCCCTTTGACCGCCCCATTCAAGCACCATCACCTTTAAAGCCTAACGGCTAGGAGAATGAAGCCAAAAAGACAATCCCACATTTTATGCTTTTTCTTTACTTTGTTACCGTTTTATTTCATTACTTTTGAGCATTATATAAGCTCTTTACTTCATGTATTTCCGTCACCCAAGTTATAATCAAAAAGAAGTTATTTTGTTTTCAAAGAAAGTGTCTCTTTGCATTACAAACTGTTCCTGTGATTTTTTTAAGTGTTTTGAGGATTCAACCTTATAGAATTTCGTGTAGAATCTCCTAAGCTCTTGTGAGAATTAGTCCTTGAGCTGAGAAGAGTCTAACCCTTGGTGTTTGAGGTCATCAAACATCAACAAGGCTATAAAACCACCAGTCTTCTCTTCCATTCTATCTAGCTTAAAGCTATCTGTTCTAAGACACATTCCTTGAAGTAATTTGAGGCTTGTATCAGATTAGGTAAGCTTTCCAACTCATCTGAAGAACGCTTACTTGAAGGAGTGTTAATCATTGAATTCTCGTCACTGTTGCTGTGGATCATTGATACCTATATAGTATTTAGTGATTAGGATATTTTTCCAGAAATAAATTACATATTAGTTCATATAATAAAAATCAGACTAATACCTCATCACCAGAAATAATAGTTGATAAATTATCAACTTGAGTCAGTTGGTCCATAGAGGAGTCTGCTAGTGTGATAATTGCATTTGCAGAGTATACATTCCCAACCTTATAGGTCTCCAAACCGTAGTAAAGATTTTCCTTCTAAACACAAACACATAACTGGAAAGTCTTCCCTACTAAATCCTTGATAGGTTGGGGAATAATTTCTGGATCAACCATTTATTTAATTCAAGAAGTTAATCATCTACAAATATTTCACACGAAAACTATAATGTAAATGAAAAAGTAAATAAAGACATTGTCATCTACCTCATCAAAAGAACCACCTAGTAGTTTTGTAGCTGATTGCAGTATAATAGTGCTAGCGACTGTATCAAGTAGCATCACCTTAGTCTTTGCTGTTTGGTCCATAACCATAAAATTCAGTTTAAACCTTATAAGAGAAAATAACTTGCAGTTAATAAGTATCTATCCATTAGTTTTATTATATAGTCTAAACGAACTAAGTGTATATGATTAGTAACATTTACTTGGCCTCCACTCTAGTGACGATTTTGTTGCATGTCTTACACCACCAAGTAGGGCCATTGATATGAACTGTTGCTCCTGGTTGCTTCTTAGTTCGTTTTTCAACCTTCCTGTTGTATTTTACGCACCCAAAATAGTACCAACCCTAATATGTGTCAATGGCATAGATCAAACACACAATCTTTCACTTCTCAATCTTCCACGCAAGCAAAACTTTTGTTAGATTCAAAAAATAAATAAAAGACTGTTGTAGAGTACATGCCATAGTCTTCGAAAATAAAACAACTGATTATTTTACCTCAGAAGTAATTAATAACTCCTCAATAGTCTTCTGTTGCAGGTTAGACCAATATTCTTTCTTCTTGACCATTTTATCTTCATCATTGGTAGTCTCAACAATGGTGGGAGCAAGACCATCATCTGGAAACCTGAACATTTAGAAAAGGATATTCATACTTAAGGTAATGTAATCAAACATCGAGATATCGTTATAACATGGCATTCGATTGGATGATAGACACTTACACATTCATGAATTCTGCAACCTCAGGTAAAGCAGGATTCATCATTAAGCATATAACAAACTTCCCAATTGTTTCTTGGCAACTGGTCCAAAGTTGATCAGCACACCTTTCCGACAAACAACAGGGCATTCGATCATCACTAAAAAAAAACAAAAAGTTTCAATCATACATGTATCCGTAAAAATCTTTAAAAAATACTTTCGTTCAATAATCATAAATATTTATGGTCTTAGGGATCTATTACTTAGTATCTCGTAGCTCGAATTCAATCTTTTTCCTCTCCTTCCCATTGACTTGAACAATTTCAATATCCTTCACATCAATAACTAGGCCAATCACGTCTACAACATTTAAATATCAGTATCATTAAACTAACATTTTATGAATATCAATATCATTAAACTAACAACAGTAGTTGTTGAAATTAATTTGAAAATATCATCATTAAACATTAAGACTCACCAACCAAGAAGTTGTGCTTAAGGTTTCTACTTAGTATAGTACCAAAGTCCACGAGATTGATAAACTCCAAGTTGCTTTTGATACTGCACTTCATAATAGAAGTGTTATCTGTGAAAGATATCTTGTAATTGTGCTTAGTTGGACGATACTGTCCAGATGCAGATGTCAACGAGAAGTTCTCAATGACTTTCCATTCTCCTACTAGAACCAACCGTTCATCATAGCTCACATATATCTTCTTACACAATGCGTATATCAAAGTACCCTACAAAGGTAACATCCAAATATTAGATAGTATTCCATTCACATATAATCTATATTGTCTTAGGTTAAACAAAGTTAATACACTCACATTTTCATCACCAAGAATCAGCTCTAAAGTTTGACCTGACCGGACGGTGTACTGCTTCCATGAGTAGAGGACTTTCACACGGATTCGCCAAGATGATTTGTAGGGTTTGACATCGGCAAGATTAGTGAAACCAATGAGAGAACTCATTATGCAAGTTTTGTGATAGAGAATAGTTGATTGAATAGTATTTAATGAGTCTATATATAAGAGGAATAACTATAGGGAGGATATATTCTCATATATATTTAGTACGCAAATAGTTAGAGAATTTTTCGGTTCTATTGATGATCTCCGAACTAAATATTCTAGAGAATATTTTCACCTCTAACTAATTGCGTAAACTGTTTTGAGAATTTACCATATTCTCTGCTATTAGTTTAGGAAAAGATATGCGTAGATATGATTGACTTTGATATATTTCTGAGATTTTAACCATATTCTCTGTTATTAGTTTAGGAAAAGATATGCATAGACATGATTGACTTTGAATTATTTCCGAGATTTTTAAAAGAGAATATATTTACTTTTAACTAATTGCGTAAATAAGATTGTTATATATGTGAAGTACATTTAAAACGAATATATCTAATTACTGCTTTGAGAATTTGCAAATGAGGGGTTTTTTTATTAGTTTCGGAAAAGATATAAGTAAATATGATTGGATTTGAATTATTTCCAAAATTTAAGGTCTAGATAAACCGGTTTATATGCATTGCCTTAATTATTTGGTTCAAGTAAATCTCGGTTAAGATGCATTAACTTAAAATAATCACAATTATTCGATGGTGTAAGAATTTATCTTGCTTGCTTCTTAGTTCATATAAGTAGATATGATTGAATTTGAATTATTTCCAATATTTAAGGTCTAGATAATACAGTTTATATGCATTTCCTTTCTGGAAAGGTTCAAGTAAATCTCGGTTAAGATGCATTGACTTAAAAGAATCTCAATTATTCGATGGTGATTAATCGTGGTTCTCGAATGAAAACGCTGTATGATCACAGTAATTTTTGATATTTACTTGTCTCCGAGTAAATATTGATGTTATATTTGCAGGATAATTGAGTTCATGCTCCACAATGACAGTTTAGATAATTAAAAGAATCTTAATTATTCGATGGTGATTAATCGTGGTTCTCGAATGAAAACGGTGTATAATCACAGTAATTTTTGATATTTACTTGCATCAGAGTAAATGTTAATGTTATATTTGCAAGATAATTGAGTTTATGCTCCACAATGACGGTTTAGATGGTTATATGTAATTTTGGTTTAGATGAATCATAATTTCTTGATGGTGAACAATAGTCTTTTAAAGTAATATTAAATGTAAAGAACCGAATGTATTATATGGAATGTAATATTAAGGACACATGATTAGTTGGTTATTCATAGGATTAGATATGTATGATTAGTCTAAAATTAAGTCGAATATGCCCTTAATGAAATGATAAAATGTTCTAGTAAACTCAACAATAGAAATTGTAAATATCATAATATGAATTGGACATTTATTAAAAATGATCTGTTTTAATAGTTTAAATTGATTGCAAATCTGTTTGTCGTCATCACTCTTATTGCAAGTAAGTAATGAGACAGACGATTACAAAAAAATTATCTTTGAAAATCGAAAATCAGGATTTTTAGGGCCTTGAAGGAGGGAAGAACTTTTTTTCTAACCCATTAGATACAAACGAACAGTGAGCCTTTAAAAACCCAATTCTTGTTTTCTGCCAAATCTATTTTGATCCATTTTCTCTTCTCTGATTATTCGGCGAAGAAATGTCGTCTTTTGCGCTAACGTTAACTACTCCGTCGGTGGTGTCGGTGAGAAACACTAAACTCGGACGGAGTGTCAGTGATTGCGGCCGGAATTGGTCTGGACTTACTAAGTTGTCGGAGAAACCCAAGAGAAGTCGAGGTTATGGTCTCTGCTGCAAGGCGGAGCTGTCGGAGCTAGCTCCAGCTGTCTCTGCTGGTTATGGTGCGCTTCTTCTAGGAGGCGGTCTCTTCGCCTGTAAGTTTACTGATCTCATGATACAGACGTTTTATTTGGATTTTTGGTTTGGCCCACTCCACTAAATTTGGATCTTTTTGTCTCCTAAATTGAAGATAGCAAATCCGGAAGCAAAGGTTCTCTCTTTGGGGGTTTGTCTGGTTCTGTCCTTATGGCATCTGTAAGATCTTCCTCTCTCTCTCTCTCTCTCTCTCTCTCTCTCTCTCTCTCTCTCTCTCTCTCTCTCTCTCTCTCTCTCTCTCTCTCTCTCTCTCTCTCTCTTTCTCTCTCTCTCTGTCTCTCATAATCTCTTCTCGTTGTTTTTTTTTTTTTTTTTTTTTGAAAATAATCTCTTCTCGTTGTTAGTTACCAAGTCGCTGCATAGTCTTTAAATCTGATTACTTTGAGGTCTTTGTTTCTTGCTTATTGTTGTTCTTCTCGAATCTTTGTTCCAGTTCCTTGAGAAAATGGTGTTTTTGTGTCTCACTATTTTAACAGTTGAATTGCTAGTCTTCTATTCCTTCTTACCTTGCGATATTGGATCCTCTCTTGCTAAGTATTAGATTTGAAGGTCTGACCAAACCTTACTAGTATGTTCGGAAGGTTCTTACATAAACCGCTGTATTGTGTCTTCTTGATTGTGATGCTCTAAATTTTGTAGCAAAGTTTGGTTTAATGACCATTCTTCTTGTCCAACTCTGTGATTACATCATTAACTGAGCAATCTCCAATGTTTGAATATTCTATTGTAGGCCTACTTCCTTACTACATCACCAGAGACAAGAGTCCTCGGCGATACCATAGGTCTCGGTTCTGCCTTCCTCTTCTCTTCCGTCTTCGGTAAGCTCCTCTTGAGAAGATGTGCTTTGTCATTTCATGTATGCCAAATGTGTGAGTGTGACATATCTCTCTTCTCATTCGAACCGGATTCTTGCAGGATTTCGTTTAGCATCTTCTCGGAAACCGGTCCCAGCCGGTCCACTACTCCTCCTTTCCATTGGCATGTTGGCCTTCTTTGTAATGGCGTATATGCATGATAGTTTACCCGCTGTGTCCGTACCGGACCCATTACCTCTACCTTAAGCCTAGATGAGATCTAAGGATTGGCTCTTAGCAAGATAGGAGAAACTGTTTTGCTTTTGCCCACACACCTATAAATTGCAAAGCTTTGTGAGGCTAATGTGGAGAGAATAATGTTTGTTTGAGGGTTGTTGCGAAATCAGACACAGAGGCATTTCCATTTAAGATGAAAGTTTTGTGTTTTATGGATCACCCATGCTTAATAAGAGAAGGTTGGAATATTTTGTGCGAAAACTCTTTTGGGAATCTGAGCGAGATTGTCTCTCTTTGAAGCACATGTTTTTGATGAACAAGTATATGAACACAATTTAGAAAGTGATGTACCATTGAGTTTGTTTGATCTAAGAAGAACTACAAGATTCTGCAACTTAGACAGACTGTATATTGAGTTTTTGTGTCCTAAAGTTCTAACTAGCTTGAACCTCTTGAGATGAAGGAGTATCGTCATAGACCAGTTCCTCGACTGGATTCAACTCAGCCCACGTAGCTGCGTCTGCGTATCCCAGATCAAACAACATCTCCAACACCTCGTCCTCTGCTGGCTCCAGTGCCCAATTCAGTAGCTAAGTATCAGAAAAAACCGAGAAGATTAACTAACACACTTACTCTCAAAGGATAATGATCATCATTAGAAGAAACAGAGCACTTACTTGTCTGGATGTTGCTCTGTTTAGAGGGTTGCAATCGGGACAGATACCAATACCCTTTAGTTTGAAGCTACTCGCGGAAAAAGCACAAACTCGAACCTGTGAAAACAATGAAACAGAGAGCCCATTAGGCGCCAATGAACATCTTCAGAAGTTAAGTCAGATGGCTGAACAAATGAAAGAGCTTCTCCCAAATATTGACAAGGCCGCAGACTCTTTAGCTGATCTCAAAGTTATGAAATGAACAGAAAGTATCAGACACAGCTGTAGTAATCAACATACTGTTTTAGCAGCAGCTGTTGGTGGCATAAACAACGTCAAGCCTCCATCAACGCAAAGTCGATTACGGAACATCGTTGCAGGCCTTGGTGCAAGATATCTGCATTTGTTCTTCAATTATAGTTTGTTAAAAAAGTTATGTTCACAAAAGAAACTGGATGTTTTTAAAAAAAAAGCAAGCGAGTGATGATATTTACCCTGGGATGAAGGCAGATGTAAAAACTGCATTGATCAGGTCGCTTTTGGAGTCGAACTGATCCACAAGTAAACCTCTCGGTCTCCATAAAACCTGTGTGATGGCAACTACAATAACCATAGAAACGTCAGATCCAAAGACAAAAAGGAAACCAAACTGAAGAAAGAAGATATTGTTTCTCGATTCTCACCACGAACTCTGCCATTGGACCTGATATGAATATCATCTGGGAGTAACTTCTCCATAGAATCTCTGAGAACAGCCTGTAATTACCCACATGGACTTGAATGAACAACAACTATAACATGTAAACTTAGAACCAACAAAAATCATCTTGTTCTCCTGTTCTCACTCATCAACTCTATCTGGTATACAATTGAAAACAGAACACCCAGAAGAAACTAGATGATATGATTTGAAATTTGAAATCCAAGAAGAGTAAGTAACACCTAGGAGCTTATACAACTTGATTACATTTGTGAACATATTGATAAGAGTTGATTTAATTACCCCAAGACGAAAAGCAGTGCCATTGCGTCGACAATCATCAGCAAGAACCTTGGTAGCTTCAAGGGCTTCCCGCATAGATGATCCTGAGGTTATCACAGCACAGACTATAGCACCAGCAGAAGCTCCTGCCAAAGGAGTGGTCTCCTGAAAAAACCGATCAACAACGTTATCTCGCAAAACATCAACACACAGAAACCCTTTGCAAAGGAGAAAACTTTATGAGAGAGGGTCAGCACCTTGATGTAACCCTTCTCGATGAGAAGCTGAGCAACACCGAGATGATAAGGAAACAAAAGACCAGCAGCAGAGAAGCTAAACCCAGGGCTTGTGATGACCCTCCTCTCTTTCTCAGCCTCTACATCTTTAACCCTCTGTTCCCAGATCATCGCTGGATCAATCTCATCCTCGATTACTGTTCCTATTCTATCTCCGTCATCAATCGGAGGCGAAGGAGACGTCCGTTGGTTGGAGAACTTCAAAAGCCGCGACGCGATTCCTATAAACATATCGCCGGTGGCAACAGCGAACGATCTCTTCTCGGGACTCGAAGAAGAAATTTGCTGGTTTCCGGTGGACCCATCAGAAGAAGAAGAGCAAGATAACCTGAGGGAGAAGATCCTCGAAGGAAGGTGATAGCTTTTACTTGTACGGAGGGAGATGAAAGGTCTGGGAAGAAGAGAGGTCGCCATTGGAGCAAAGGGTCACACTCGGATTAGTTTTTTGGTTTCGCAATTTTGGAAAAATTTAGGGGTTTTCTGATTCACACGATCATCGCAGCTCACAAAACAGTCATGAGGATGATACTGTGTGTGGTTTCGTGGCGGAATTGTTCGCTAAGTCCTGAGACTTATATTTATATATATATAAAAAAAATCGACTTCCCAGGAAACAACAAACATCGGAAAATTCAGTCGGTGAGTCAAGACCGGCTCTTTAGCTTCTCCTCTGTTTTTAGGAGAGAATATAGAAAGGATAAATTTTAGAAGAACCAAAAGAGTAAAAATGTTGTGATTCGGTTTCTGTTTTCAGCCATACATTTCACTGTCCTCACTTACAAACATTCAACTCTCAATGGTACTAATAAGAAATCCCTAAATCTATTAAAAATCCTAAAATCGACTTCGTAAACCTATATAGAAAACTCTGAACCATTATTCTTTAAACATATTTTCGAAATCGAGTGTATTTCTATTGTTAGTGTGGAATTTTGTTGTCTCTTTTCTGTTTTTCATACTATAGAATGTTTATTTCCGTTCTGGATTTTTGATTGTTTTCTAGATTTTGGATTGTCTCTAGGTTGTAATCCGCCATGAGTAATCTATCCGGAGCTTCGAGTGGATCTTCAAATGGTCGAGCAAGAAGAAGAGTTGTTGGTATACCTAAAAGATATTGGTGTGGAGACCAAATTGTGGCGTTGATATCGAAATCTGACCATAACCCTTACCGGAGATACTACCGATGTGGCTATGCTGTATCTTAGAAGATAATTCGATCTTCGAATAACCTTGTTGTAATGGTTTTGTTATGATGCTTTTGATTCTTATTGGTATGGATGGATCATTCTTGTAGTTTATGAATGATAATCACACTTTCAAGTGGGTTAATGAGGCATTCTTAAATGAGATTGAGGCTTTGCAATTAAAAACTGCGAGACTTGAGGAAGAGCTGAAAGAGGTTACAACAAAGAGAACAGAGATTGAGAAGATGTTTGAAAAAGTGCAATTGAAGCTCGAGAAGGAGATATTTGAGAGAGTGGAAAATGTGTTGGTTAAATCATCATCTAGGATGAAGAAGATGATGATTGTTACAGTCATTAGGTGCATGATAATAGTTGGATACAGTAAGCTTCTAGGTTGAATAAGAGGGAATATGATGATTGTTGTATTCATTGTGTTTTGGGATATGTGTTTTCATTTCTTGTGTTTTTGTAAGACTTAGTACATGATTCCCATTAATATATGTGTGTTATCGTTCTTTTAGCTTCTTTAATGTGAAAGACACAAGATGGTTGTAGTAATGTGAAAGACACAATCTCGAATACACATAAGAAACAAAAGAGGGATATCAATACTTATATTTAGGTTATCCATTGCCATCGAAAATGATTTTCTAAAAAAGTGGTCAAAAGACCTTAACCCGAGATATCAGTATCCTAAACATGTCCGAGATACAAATAAACCAAATAAACCAACCCTACATCAATTTCTTTCTTCCTATCCTACATTAGTTCTTTATTCTCAGCTTAATGTGATCCTTCATAAGTTGCCACACCAGCTCTATGGCTTGAGAAGATTGAGTTTGAGTGAGAGTGCCTTGAGAGGATTCACCTTAAAAAGCCTGCAATAAATGAAAACCAGAAAGACATGTTAAACCACAAAAACACAAAGCAAATCCATAAACCATAAACGCAATCAAAGCTAACTAGAAACACAATCAAAGCTCAAACCTCATCCTGATTTTTCTTGTGAAACCTGGAGTTGTGGTCAGCTTTGCCACATATTCCACAATGCATAATCCATTTCTTCTCTTTTGGTGCCTTTTTGGTGGGAGATTCATTAACGCCTTTCTTCCTCTTCTTAGAAGCCTTAGTTACCTTTTTTCTGCCAGGCTGATCGGGTTCAGATGGAATATGCACATTTGGATGATCTGTTTTTGGCCAGAATCTTGCACCTGTCACTAGAATCGGACCTTCTTCATAGTTCCTCCTCCACATTGCTGTATGAAACCAGTGACAAACAAAATCTTTAGGAACAAGTTTCGTCACCATAATCATGACATATGCATGCTCGCAAGGAATACCACAAATGTCAAACTTCAAGCAACTGCATATCCTTTTCTCCAAGTTGACACAGTAACTGCAACCATTTAACATTGCTTCATAATATCCATTTGTACTTCTACTAACAGTGCAAAAAGAAGCTTTCTCATGTTCGGCTGCAAGAAACTTAGCTATATATGGTGTACAAATCCCTGAAACAAGCAAACAAAAGAGAACACTTACATCAAACACACAACACTTACATCAAACGCGTAACACTTACATCAAACTCATAAAGAGAACACATACACCTAAACTAAAAAGAGAACACTTATGCCTAAACTGAAAAGAGAACAATACCTTGAGATATGGCTGATCTCTTGGCAATGCGTACCATAGCCAATCTTCTTATGGTATATAGCATAGGAACAAACGCCTTCTCCCTTGCCTTGCTGATCGTCTTATTAAATGATTATGTGGAGTTATTTTCCACATCTTCGCAATAATTCCCTCTCTTGTAGTAAGCTCTGCACCAGCTTCGTGGGGTTTGTCTACATCACATCATCGTATACACCACTTTAATAGTTGCACAACTTGTCCAAATTCTGTAAAAAGTCAGCTTCACTGTAGCTCCATGCCAAGTTCCATATCAATGGCTTCATGTGTTTTTTGCTCCCATGATTCTTCTTCAGGTTTTCATAGATATGTCTAGCACATATTCTATGATCGATCTTTGGCAACTCCTCCTTAACCGCTTTGATCAAACCCTGAAACAGAAAAACCAGTTAAGGCAAACAAAATATGTAATAAAATAAGAAGTAAAAGCTTATGATCAAGCGAATTTACTTACCTTTTCCTGATCAGATATGATATATCCATTACCATCATTTAGTCCCAAGTCAGCCTTCACCTTCCTTACAAACCATAGCCAGTTGTCAGTGGTTTCTACTTGTACAACAGTCCATGCTATTAGACATATAGTATTATATACATCTCTACCTAAAGCAACCAATATCTGTCCCTTGATTTTCCCTTTTACAAAGCACCCATCATATCCAATCAGTGGCCTACAAGTCTGCTTCCATGTTCTTCTGATTACATCAAAGCAGACGTAGATATTGTGAAACATATCCTGACCTTCTGCGTTTTTCAGAGTATCAATCTCCACAGTCGAATCTTTGTTCGAATTTCGCATCTCAGCAGCATAATCTTAAAGACGATCAAACTGATTATCATGTTCATATTCAATCCACCTAATTGCCTTATTCCTAGCAGCTTGACATTGAGGCCTATATACAACAATTTTCCATCTTTCCATCACTATTTCCTCAATCTTCATAGGCATGTAATAATCCGACTCCTCTCTAATCTTATCAATAAATATCCTAGCAATCACAAGAACCTTAAACATCTCACATTAGGTGTACAACTATGCTTATCTATAAACACCCTAATTTTCTACATTGAATCACTTGGAAGGATTGAAGCATATACTTGCCACGCACGACCTTTGCTTTCTTCTCTACTATCACCACCAGCACATTTGAAGCCAATTTTATCCTTATCGTACCTGCCATTGAAGAATGACTTGTTTTTGTACAATCTTCCATCACCATGTCGAATATGGGTCGGCTGTCTTTGTCTCTCTTGTCTAACACCATCTTCACCTTCTTGTTCTTTACTATCGCTTTCAGTTTCAGGATAAATGTCATGGAGAATTGGAGGTTCATCCACAAACTCTTAAATAAGCTGCTCGATCTGAAAGTCTACTCGCTCGCGTGCTTCTTCATTGAATCCATCTACACCCTCTCGAATCACTAAAGCCATGGATTTCAAGCTTTCAAGCTTTTGTGATTGAAGTGTTTCTGAGCACAATTTCTAATCAGGGTTAGTGATTTGGGGATTTTTGGGCAAAAGGGGTTTAATCAATTTATCGGATCAATTATTGGTTTATTATGTGTAATCGGGTCATAATTAGGTTTATTATTGGTTCACTGTGGTTCATGGTTTTTCCCAAAACAGTAAACCGTCTAAAACCACGGTTAACGGGTTCTAAAACTTTGAATTTTAATTGGTAGAGATATAAGTTTTCAACTTTTAATTCAGGAATATATGGATCTTTAACTTTCCTATGGAGGATATCTAGAACGAGGGTATAGTTTGGGCTTCATCTGATTATATACGATAGTTATAGTGGGAAAATAGATCATTTTCTCAATATCTGACAGCCCTAAAAGTTCTTTAAAATTTTTTTTTCATTGGTTTTCTATTTTTCCTACAATCACTTTTAACACATTTTTTCTATTTTTCTCTCTCTTCCCTTTGTGACTTGTCCTTACCACAAATTAAATTATACTTTTCTCTCTCTTCTCTTCTTGTCACTTTGAATAATAATTAATTATTTTAACAAAATATAAATATATAATACAAATAAATAATACTTAGTCAAATTAGTTATTTTAATAATAATAAATGTATTTCTTAAAATTTAGTATAACAAAGTCAGTAGTTACTATTATTTAGCTTTAAATTCTTAGTTAAAAAACAAAAAAGAAACATTCAAAAATTAAAATTAAAATAATTAGATACTATTTTAAGAAGATTATTAGAACATTATAAATACATTAAGAAAGTGAATTTTATTAACACTTGCAAATCCAAAAGGTATAATATTTTTTTCTCATCATGTGCCTTGCTACATAGTTATTAGGTGTCTTCCCGCACTTGTGCGGGGTTCGATTAATTTTTTAAAAAAGTATAACATTAGTTTAATTATAGATAAAAAATCAGATTTTATAATGATTCGAATCTAAACTTAATATATTTTTTTAAAAATATAATTTTTATGAGTATATTATTTTTTTTATGACAAAGCAAAATATATTATTCGTTTCTTATTTTATAATATATTTTATATTATCCGATAAAAAC